GCTTCACCCCAAAATGACTTAGGAACCCCAGAACTTAACATTATGCAGCGCACTGGGACCGTTTTGTGCCTTGTTATTCCACTTTCTTTACACATTCTATCGAATTCAGTATTACAGAATTCTAGGCCGTTATCTGTCCTTAAAAATTTGATCCTCTTGCTAGTTTGGTTTTCCATTTGTTTCTTCCAATTGTTAAAGTTATGGAAGGTTTCAGTTTTGTCTTTCAATAGATAGACCCACACTTTTCTGGTGTAGTCATCTATGATAGATAGGAAATACCTATTCCCACCTGATGTGGGATTACTAGCAGGACCCCACAGATCAGAATGCACATATTCAAGCATGCTTTTAGCCTTATGCGTACTGGTGGAAAACGACACTCTATGGTGCTTCCCAAGCACACAGTGATCACAGAACGATAGGTCAGACACACAGTCATTACCAAATGCACATTTTTCATTAAGTAGCTTAAGTCCTTTAATGCTTACGTGTGCAAGCCTACTATGCCACGTGTGTGTGTGTGATCGATTTTGGCGGAAGAAATAGAGGAGTTTGATCCTCTAATCACTTCCCCAGTAGTGATATAAATGTCGTTTTTCTTGATTCCCTTAATAGAGATTAACGCACCCTTCATCATTTTAAACATACTGTTTTCAATTTTACCCGTGAAGTTGTCTTTCTCAAGTCTTCCTACTGAAATTAAATTCCTAGATAATTCCGGAATATATCTAACTTCTTTTAACACGTACACAAAGCCTGTGTTAAATTTTATCTTTATATCTCCAATTCCAGCAATTGTATAGGAGAAGTTATCACACAGAACTACTTGTCCATCATTAGATTCTTGCAAGTTTTCAAACCAATTCTTTTCAGATGTCACATGAAAAGACGCACCAGAATCTAATATCCATTCATGCATGTGAGAATTAGTAGTTAAGTTTAATTCAGTAGTGTATGCGACTGGACTAGTGATCACATAGACTTCACTGTTTTCAGTATCGGAGGTAGAGGATAACACATTTACCTCATCTCTTTCCTTAATCTTCTGTTTTCCTTTTTCTTTATGACAGTCTTTTATAAAATGCCCTGTGCCTCCACAGCCATATCATTTTCTACCCTTAGTTCTCGACTTTGATCTAGGTCTACCATTACTACTTGATTCGCCACTACTTTGGTATCCATCATGACTGACTTGCCTAAATTGTGTTCTACCCTGCATCATATGCAACTCTCCACTCCTCCTATCCTGTTTTTCAGCCTTCATTTCCATCTCTTTACTTCTAAGAGAATCTACGACAATTTCAGGTGTTAGCGTTTCCCTACCATACTTAATAGCATTTTTAACTTCTTTATAAGAGTCTGGGATTGAATTGAGCAAGATAATGGCCTTATAGGTTTCAGACACGGCTTCGTCACAATTGACAATATCTTGCACCAATTTATTAAATACATCTAGATTGTCGTCGAGATCCTTTGAAGGATCCATTTTAAAGCTGAAGAATCGTTCGAGTAGGTAGAGTTTATTCGGTGTAGATTTAAGCAAGTATAAGTCTTCTAGTCTTTTCCAAAGTTCTTTGGTGGTTTTTAGTTTTCCCACTTTTCTTAAGACGGCGTCAGACAAGTGTAATATTATTGAGGTATAGGCAAGCTCATCGGCTTCCTCTTTTTGTTCTTTTGAGATATCAGGTGCAAAATTGCCTTCGATGGCTTTTGATACCTTTTGTTGGACTAGTATGCCTCTCATCTTTTGTTGCCAGATAGAGAAGTCCCATTTACCGTTAAAAATTCCTAAATCAAAATTATGTGTTGTCATTGGTTAACACCCTAATTAAACCACACGAAGTAGTATTGGGAAACGTGATAAGGTAATGTCTTGTTAATTATTAGCAAAGGTAATAATGAACCTAAATGCTACGTCCACCAAGGAATAACAAGCACTTTAAATTAAAAGAACAAATACTTAATTAACGCAAGTAATCCTAATTCTAGCACACGCAATGGTTACCCCTTCACGGTAACCCCAAAACCTAACGATCACCCCACACGATGATCTTGCTATTGCTGAATTTAAATGGATTAAGCCAATTTACCAGAGCGGACCTATCTGAGTCCGTAAAGTGGAGAAAAAAGAGCTTGCTGTTGAATTTCAATCGGCGTCGTATCAAAGGGCAAAATCGTCCAACTTTTTCTGTGTAACCTGAAACACAAAACAAAGTATATTAGCGCGTTCAGGAGATCGAAACAAACAAGTTACCTGAAGACTGCGTTGCCGGAAAACCCCCCACGCGCCGCCGCCACGCGCCGCCTCTCCCGGAGCGCCTCGGCCTGCTGATGATGGGTATGGCCTCCGTTTGTCCAACCGAGCTTTGGTTTGTGAGTAATTGTAAATTTTCAGATTCGGATTCTAGGTTGTAGGTGCGAAAATCAGCCGATTTTGAGCCGTTTTTTGCCACCCGAGCTCTGATACCAGATGTTAGGACCTTCCTCTTGCTGCTCACGGTGATTTCCGGGCTCAGTTAACCATTAAAACCGAATTTAACATCAATTTTGGAGTCACCAATACCGCCGGCGCCTCTTCCTCTTTGGTTGCTTTCCTCCTTTGCTTTGTTGATTTAATCCACTCACTTAGGATGGATACCACTCAGGTAAGGTTCACAAAGACTCAAGCAATTGGGGTGAAGAAGAAATCATGAAGAAGATGAAGGCAGAAGAACACGGCTGGGCACGACAGTTTCTCTAACTCTCACGGCTTCAACATTGGACGGACTCAACAAGGGTGAAAACACCAATATATATAGTAAGTCAAGTGGCCAACATAAGGTAAGTCGAGATATGATAAGTAGGCTCGACTAGGGTTAACTTCCAATGGAAGGAATCAACAAGCCACAAAGAGTACTAGCCGTCCAATAGGTAAAGCAACGTTTGGTTGGTTCATCCATTATTCGATGTTGAATTATCGTTCAGTCATTCATGTTGACTGATAAAATTGGTTCTTATCATCGCCCGGGAGGTCGTTTGACAACATAATGTCTAACATTAACGATTAGTCCCACGTGGCTATTCAAAATGCTTGAGTTTAATGAATGAATTGAAACAAGAATATACCATAAGAAAATTTAAACTAATTAAAATTCACTCGTCGAAGTTTCTTTATTAACAATGGTCAAATTGAAACAAAAACATAACTTTTAGGTGACTCACGAAATTTTCCTTAGGAACAATCTACTCGGTGACAATTGACAAATTATTATTATTTTTGCGCGCTCTCTCTCTCATTTTCAATTATAAAATCTTCCATAAAATAATATTACACGTATAAAAAATTGCAGTCGAGGTACCAAACCTTTCTTTTATTAGCAAACTTTGTCCAAACCTTTCATTTGTGCTACCAAAGGTACCAAATCTTTCAAAAATGTGCACCCGAAGTCCAAATGGACGGAAAAGACCATTAGTTGACCAAGAAAAGTAAATTTGACCAAATTGGAATGGATAAAATGGCAACTTGATAATTACCATATTAAATAAATTGAACAAAAAAAATCAAAAAATCAAGAAAAAAATCAAAAAATTAAGAAAAGAAATTTGAAAAGGGTTGTCTTCTTCAACCATCCCACCCTACGCCACCCCACCGTCTTTGTCCCTAAACCAGCCACGAGAACCACCCCACCCCACCCCACCATCTTTGTATTTCTTTCTTGGGATGACTTTTAACCAAAAAAAAAAAAAAGATTCGGAGAGTTCCAGAATTTATCGAATATAATTTTCTCCAAAATGGGTCCTCAATTATCATCTTTTTGAACAAAAAACAAAAAATGCCCCCACAATCTACCGCTTAATTTGCATTTTTTCCCTCTTCAACCTTCTCTGTGTGAAAATTAAGTTCATGTCCTGCCTCAATTCGTGACCTTGTGGGTCCAAATGCTTCTTATTGGTACCGTCGTTCTTACACTTGTGTGTCATATTGAATACGACAAGTGCATTTTTGGTATTATTATTGGATGATGAGTCGACATGCACTTTGATTAGCTGTGGATTGGTCAGGTTCATTGCGAGGTTGTAAAATCCATGGGCGGTCAGTGGCAATAACCCGAATAATCTGGTCGATTTTGGAGAAATTTGTTCGATTTTGTAATGGATTTTTGGTAATGGGTGTGAGAAGAAGTTGTTGCCGACAGTGGTGTCGGTTGGTCTCTTGGCAATGGTGCTGGTGGCTAGTTTAGGGACAAAGATGGTGGGGTGGGGTGGCGTGAGGTGCGATGGGGTGGGGTGGGTGGTTGAAGAAGACAACCAATTTTTAATTTCTTTTCCTAATTTATTTATTTTTTCTTGATTTTTTGATTTTTTTGTTCAATTTATTTAATATGGTAATTATCAAATTACCATTTTATCCATTCTAATTTGATCAAAATAGGTCAAAATTTATTTTTCTTGATCAATTAACGCTCAAATGGATGGTTTCATTTGGATTTCGGGTGCGGATTTTTAAAAGGTTTGGTACCTCCAGTGGCACAAATAAAATGTTTGAGCAAAATCTGTTAATAAATGAAATATTTGATAACTCGGCTGCAATTCTCCCTTACATGTAAATTGAAAAAAAAAAATTCTTCTTTTTCAATCATCCATTCTCTAAAAAAATGCTATTCCACCAATTATAATTTGAAAAAATGGAAGTCAAACGGGGGCGAAGTATGTCTATATCTCGTACTGACTTTTATTTTTTTAGGCCCCATTTGATTTTCATAGATTTAAGAATGAGAATAAAAAATATAATTAATAAGAGACTCAAACAAAAAATAAAAAATCAAATATGATGATTTGATGTGATTGTTAATAGTCATATTTTTTATTTTTTTGTTCAGAGAATGAGAATAAAACGGGGCTTGGTGAATACGAGGGCAACAAAGTCATTTGACGTGAGATCCGGATATACTATCTATACAAGACAATATTCTCTTCCTTCCTTGGAAAACGCGTCTCGTGTTCCCACCATCCTCTCTTTTTCACGTGATGCCTTCTACGCCTCACCATTGACTCCTCTCTCAGACACACATAACACATACAAAAAAAGTTCCCAAATTACTTCGAATCCATCTTGAACTCTCCATTTCTAGGGTTTTATGTCCACCATTATCCATATATTTCATATCCATTCTTGATTCTCGTAAAACGAACAGCTAAGAATTTCCCCCTATTTTCAGTCATTATCTTGAAGAAACTTTTCATTACCATTTAATGCGTTTGAGTTTTAATCCATCAATGTTTATGAACCAACCTCAGATCAAATCTTTTTGTGATTGCTACAATGAAGTTTAAAATCCTGCGGTGCTCATCGCTCCCGATCAATTTCTTGGAAACGTTGTCGTCTTCTGCATCATCTTCATCAACATTGTCAATGGCGGCGCCCCGGGGTTCGGTGGTGGAAGCTGGAGGGCGGGTTTTAGATAAGGATGAGGAGAAGAATACGGAGTCTCCTACCAGGAAGAAGGTCAAGGCGGAGAAGTTTCCGATTTCGCGGTGGGAGTTCGCGGCGGCGTTAGGGGTGTTTTTGGTATTTTCAACCGGATTGTTGTGTATTTACCTCACCATGCCAGCTGCGGAATATGGAATGCTCAAGCTGCCTCGCAACCTTGCCGATCTTCGCTTGCTCAAGTAAGGTTTTTTCCCTACCATTTCATTTGGGATAATTATATTGCGTATTTTGAATTTTTGGAGGCTTTTTAATATCTTTTATTTCGTACTGATTATTATTGTTGAAACTGTGGCTCCTGTTATTTATCTTTAATAATTGTATGTGGGTTGTAATGTTTAATGCATTGTTATTTATACAAACCTCAGTAATCTAGTACTAGTACAATCAGATCGTGTATCTGCTCGCCTAGATAAGTTACTTTGGATTGAACTAATTTACTAGTTTTTTGTAAGTTCGAAGCGATTGAATTAGATATATGGTTGCACGGGATGAGAGCTAGTATTTTTTCATAATTTCTTTGTCTTTTGGTTTGTTAAAGAAAGAGGAGTACATCATAAGATTTGCGCATATTTATCTTGTTGAAATTTCAAGAACGGCCACCAAGAAGTTGTTAGTCTCCTTCAATATAATGAAGTTTTGGTCTTAGTTGTAGCAAGGTATGGCAGACTGCAAATCTCTTTGACCCTTGATTGATTAACTTGATTCTTCCAGATTATTTTGAAAATATTTACCCGTGTGATTTTTATAGAACAGCCCATAAGTTGCTGTGATATAATAGATTTTATAGTTTATTCTTATCATTTGCATCTATAAATGACTAGATCCAGTTTTTATTTGTCTTTTAGATAGTCTGTAAGCTAAATTCAACAACGGTTTTAGTTATCTAACGAATCATTCTGTTCATCTAACAAATTATTAGACTGTTGCTGAAATTTGTCCATGGTTTCCTGAATGTTCTTTAATTTTTGCTCCAGAAATCATCTTGCTAAATATGCTCAAGTTTACCCAGCGAAGTTCATTCTAGGTTACTGCTCAATGTACATATTCATGCAAACGTTTATGATTCCTGGGACAATTTTCATGTCCTTACTAGCTGGAGCACTCTTTGGTGTCAAAGGCATTCTCTTGGTTGTCTTTAATGCCACAGCTGGTGCATCGTGCTGCTTCTTTCTATCTAAACTTATTGGCAAGCCTATTGTTAACTGGTTGTGGCCTGAGAGATTGAGATTTTTTCAGGCTGAGGTACCTTTTTTTATTCTATTTTTCTTTCTCATTTTGTAATATTTTAAAACTGCAGGTTGCTTCATTCATAGATGGACGTCTTATCTTTAACACTTCACCCATTTCAGATAGCAAAGCGGAGAGAGAAGTTGCTCAATTACATGCTCTTTTTGAGAGTTACCCCAACGTTACCAAACCTTTTTATCAATCTGGCATCACCTATTGTTGATGTACCATTTCATATTTTCTTTCTGGCAACTGTTATTGGTCTTATTCCAGCCTCCTACATTACTGTAAAGGTAAGACTTACATTTCATTCTCGAGTTTTTAGTATTATTTTCTTCTGGATGTTGGTATTGCAGAAGGCAGAATAAGAATCGGACATGTTCATCCCTGCAATGCTGTTTATGTTGCCGCTGCTTTTGTTTCAGGCTGGACTTGCTCTTGGAGATCTGAAATCAGTCAAAGATCTATATGATGTTAAGACTTTGGCCTTGCTTTTCCTCATTGGATCTCTTTTATTAGTTCCAACCCTTTTGAAGAGGAAGCGAATATACGAATAGGGATGTGGTGAGTTTCCACATATATTTATGGAGATGGAGCACAAGATAATTTATCTTTTAACTGTTCTTGCATTTTGTTACCAGGACCCTGAGGGTGCAGGACCTTGTTTCTACACTGCTGCCGAGTGCTGAGAAGGTGTTTACTTTTGCTTGTGATACATGGGTTTGATCGATTACTCTACTATAGTTCAAAGGCAGAAAGCTGATTATTCAAATTTATGTAGGCTGATTAGGTAACATTCTTACCCAGGTTTTATCATGCGTGACAGAAATCTTGGGTAGCGATGATATATTGGATGTCATGTACCAAACAATTATGTAAATTATAGAATTTGATTCAAATATCAGCATAGCATCAAAAAGAAGTTATTTAAGTGATATAACATGAGACCTCCTCAATGGCGATGTACCACATTGTGAAAGCTCATACATACCCCTTTGCTGTTGGAAAAATATGGGAAGTTGCTTTAGTACTTAGTTGTTCTCTATATTAGTTGTAAAATGCTTGAAGATGACTTAGTTTTATTATGCGCTCGATTAATTTTCCGGCTGTTTGCCTCATCTGTCAAGAATTGTCTATATATTAACGGTCTGTTTGGCAAGGCTTTTCCTTCTTGTAGAAGAGCTTTTTAAGGAAGTTTTCTTAGGCCATCTTCCTCTAAGAGTTCTCATAGCAAGATTGAACACTTTCAAAAAACTATTCAAACATATTCAAAAGCAATTTTCCAAGTTTCATAAGTAAATGTTGACTTTTAAGAATTATTGCCAAACATGACCTGAATTATATCATGCTGTATGATCTTTAATGCCCTGTTTTTGAATTAAAAGTTAAGCCAAGAATAGGTGGGGTGGGTCTTTAACTGTGGTCAAATTAAGTTGAGGGAAAGGGAAGGAATTGTCATCCTTTAAACTAAAGCAATTAATTTAACAGAAGATAAAAAAATTCGTTCGAGTATAAATCCAAACTTTCGTAGTTCACCTACTAAAGTTGTCTTGAATAAATAACGTGGCGTTGGAGTTTGGTGGTATGTGCTACTCTGAATATTTATGCAATTGTAGGATTTTCATTTCTAATTGTTAGAACATATTTGTGGGCAACATTTTAGTGTTAGTTTGCCAATTTCATCGTCCAAATATTCGTGTAGAACTCGTACAAGGATCTAACACAACACTTGTGACCTCTATTAACATAAATTAATAGAAATACCAAGATAACCTTGTAAAATAGTCATGAAAGTATCTCTGGCATCCTCTGTTCCAACAGGACAATATTTTGATCCAAGTTTGTCAGAGTGCAATTTTTGGTAAAATAACATCCTACTTTGTCAATATCACATGGATCCCCACATACTGGAGATCATATGTGGTAACTACTACTACAATATATCTATACGATTATTGAAAAAGAAAAATTCATCATTCATTAATTTAGCAAACACGACTGTAAGTCCATGTTTGTTATAGAGTTTGGACAGAAGTAGACAGCACTGTAGACAAAATTTTAGCTTTCTTCATCCTTTAATATTGTCCAGTACTGTTTGGTCGACCTTGCCATACATCTGGAGTTAGAAGCTATACAAAAGATGGCCTATTTATTCCTTCCCTGTGTCTTTTCCTTGCAGTGTATCTGCCAAGTTAAAGTTCAAATTGCCTCTCATGGTTCTACCCCCAACCCCAGCATTACCCTTCCTCATCATCGTAGCAAATTCTCCATAATCAATTCGGCCATCCTGCAATGATAAGAGTTAAATAACAACGTTAGCTTTAAGGTTTTCCAGCACTGAAATTACTGCTATGAATTCATACATTATCTATGTCGATTTCACTAATTATGTCCTCCAGATGAACATCCCCGAGGCCGAAATCTTTGCACGCCTGTTGAAGCTCATCAACGGTGATATAACCACTTCCATCCTTGTCGAAGAAAGAAAATGCAGCAAGCAAATTTTCCTCCCTTTCCATCTTATTCATATGTAAGGTTGCAGCAAGAAATTCACCATAGTCAATAGTCCCATTGTTATCAATATCAGCCTGCCAGAAAACTCTGAATTTAATTGTCTGAACATCTGGTGAAAACTATGTACTAGAACAGAGATACTAGGTATACCGCGTTCATAAGTGCCTTGATTTCGGATTCCATTAATTCAGAGCCGACTCTTTTTAGACCTTGTTTAAGTTCCTCAAACGTTATTGTCCCACTATTATCTGTATCAATCATCTTGAACAATTGTCTCAATCCCCCGATTTCTTCTTCCGAAAGTCTTTCTGCTATGACCTGCACAACGTATGTTCTTGAAAAATGCATTGTCAAAGATGACCTGTATTAAAATCCTAAAATTTACGTACTAATTGAGTATTTAGTTAACAGATCAAGTTGTTAATCTTGCTTCTGTAAGAATGTAGAATAGTAATCAAAGAATAATTCCGGAACTCAAATCTCTTCATGAACCAATTCGATGCAAATAAACAAGAAAGACATCAAATGGGGACATACGCGCAGTGCCATCTTTTTAAGTTTGTTCATGGCGCAGAACTGTTTTAGGCGTGAGAGAACTGCAGATCCCAAAGGTTTGTCCGGGGCAACTGTATCATCCACAATCCAAGGGTGACCTATTACGAAAGCCAAGTTTCCTTTGTTTAATAATATGTAAAAGTAAAACAAGAACAGACATAATTCATATGAGAAGCAAGAATACAACTTACATAGGACTTCATGAGCAGATATTCGTCTTCTAGGGTCTCTATCGAGCATTTTTCCTATAAGATCTTTTGCACTATCTGAGATGTTTGGCCATGGCTCAGATTCGAAATCTATTTTTCCTTTCAGAATCTGTCTGAAGATACCATTATCTGTCTCTGCGAGTCGAAAATTTGAAAAAAGAACAGAGATGAACAAGGAAATATTAAAAGATGAAATTAGTTGGTGATTATAGGAAAATGGTGAATTCGAAAGCTTACCAGCCCAAAATGGTGGAACTCCACATAATAATATGTAGAGGATAACGCCTGCGCTCCACACATCACTTTCATGGCCGTAATATTTATGCAACACTTCAGGCGCGACATAGTAGGGACTTCCAACTACATCAGAAAGATATTGTCCTGGTAGGAATATTATCATAAAATTCTCCATCAGATTATATCAATAATTCTCATTGTAATTCAAGGTCTACTAATTCTCATGTACGTTTAAACCTACATATTTGAAGAAAGAAACTAACGAAATGGATCAAACAGAATCCAAGAATATACCAGGTTTGAAGAAAACCGATAACCCAAAATCCGTGGCCTTAAGCTTTGCATCCTCATCAGGAGTATCGAAAAGGAAATTTTCCGGCTTAAGATCCCTATGCATTACACCAAGAGAATGACAAGCCTCGACCACCCCAACAATGGTTTTCATAAGGTGAGCTGCTTTTTTCTCGCTGTAATGACCTTTCTGAACAATCCTATCGAAAAGCTCGCCGCCAGCACACAATTCCATAACCAGATGAACAAACACATTGTCTTCATAAGTCCCTTTAATCCTCACAACGTGAGGATGCTCCGACAAATGGTGCATTATCTGAATTTCCCTCCAAACATCATCGTAATCCTCCCTGCACAAAAGCTTGCGTTTTGGGATCGATTTACATGCATATTCAATGCCTGTGGCCTTCTCTGTGCAATGATAAGTCGTCCCGAATTGGCCTTGGCCTAATTTTCTCCCCAAATTGTAATGATCTCGGAGTCTTGGGGTTTGATAAGGAAGAACTGCTGATGCAATCTTTGAGGATGATCCTGAAGAATGTTTCTTCATCGAGTATTGTTAGTAGGGACCTATCTATCTCTAAGCTCTTTGTTCTCTCTCTATCTACAAGTTCTTTTGTTTCTTGATTGGAGTTTGAGAAAAAATCTCTGTTCTGTTTTTGTTTCACCATAAATTATTGAGAAGTAACTAACAATTGATTTTTGGTCATACAATTTGGCGGAGTTTGTGGTGGAGCTTGACTAAGTGCATTGTGCCTTTTTCTTGTGGTAATTTCTAATGGGATAAAAACACCATTATTAGAGTTAGTGACATCTTTTTTTACACTAGGGACGCCAACAGGCCGGAGTGGCCTGGGGCAGCCTGTCATGAATTTGCAGGAGGCAGGCGGAACAAATTGGGATTTTTTATTTTTATTTTTGGGGAAGGGCTCAATATTCCTAATTTAAACATCACATTTCATTTATTTAAATTTCCAGCTGTTGCAAGAAAATAAAAATAAAAACCTTATAACTTCATAGGCAAGAAAATTGAAACAAATGGAAAAGAAAACAACGTTTATGTCCTTCAATTAGTTTGTCAAATAATATATAATAAATTCACAATTGCAGAACAACAGAAGAGTTAAAATGTAAATTAACAATTCAACCTATGGCCTTGGACACAATGATCTTTGACAACTATTATAAAGAACTTGACAAGGGCAGTTATTTATATATTAATTCACAACAAATTCTATCCATGTATGCACTTTTGACATACTCAGCTGTGTAAATTGGGCAGTACTGAACGAAGAAAAATAAGCTAAAATGTTATATGTCCAATACACTGCATACCAAACAAGCTTAACTAAAAGTCGGGAAAGCATTCCAGTAATTGGCTGACATGGTTTTGAGCATTTTGCTCACTGTTTTGGGACATTAATAACAGGTTTGTGTAAGCATATGATGAAGGCTCAGTTACTTCTGATGCAAGTAACTTATCCAAGCTCTTCCAATCACTAATTTGATTCCCATAATTGCTTTTATAATCCTCGGTCGACTCTTCATTCCCAAATATTGCATTACCTTCGAAATGTAAACTTTCGTTCGTAGTAAAATCAGTTGTTAACATGGGTGGGCTATCGAGTTCTGGAAGTTCAACTATTTGATTTTCGAAAACTGAAGCAAGTGGAGACTGCTGAAAATTTGTCCCTTGATTAATTGGATCGAAGTGTTGCGTTCCATTCGGGGTGCTTGGATATGATGGATTAGGCCTGTAATTTCTGTTGATCGATCTGGTATAGTAGACATTATTCCATGCTTCAAAACCTTGCTTCTGATTTGGACTTGGCTTCTTGAATGCTCGACAAACCACCCATCCTTCTTCCTGTAATGTTTGATAATATTAACGCGCTAATTTCTATATAATACAATGCGAGAACTACATCCACTTGACGTTGCAAGTTTTTTACTTATCAATGTTTTCGTCATGCCCCCTCTAAAAGGACGACCTAATACATGTCTAGAATACTCGATATAATTGTCTTTATTCTAGACTGATGCAGCACAATAAAGAAAGGAAGAAGAAAGCTTGTCTCTCCAATTAGCAATTTAAACCACAGAAAGTGCTTTGGAAAAGAGCGTTTGTCACCTTTGAAATCATTACAGAATAAGAAAAAATATTGAAGAGGGTAATGGATTTATAAAAGTCATGTTTTTTTATGAACAAAAATATAAAAAAAGCAAATATTTGGGATGAGAGTCATTCAGGATATCTACTGTAACAATCAGAAGATATACATCTATATCTATATCTGTTTATTTTTCATAATTCAAGGCAAAGTCACTTCTAATGTATGAACTTAATTCTTGCTCTTAGACTATCTTAGTGTCTATTTAATCGATCGAGCAATAATAAAATAAGAATAAAATCAGAAATTAACACACAGAAATTTAAAGTAATTCTCCTAGATGATGTTGAAATTACCTGAGAGGGTCCATGTTCAGATGTTTGGAGCCGATATTCGTGCATGATCCAGTCAGTTTTCTGTCCATTTGGTGCGCGTCCTTTGTAGAATACTAATGTCTTCCTCATCCCTATCATTTTGTCATTCGAAAGCACTGCCTTATCCCTTCCGGTTGCCTTCCAGAAACCGGCAGCTGTCGCCCTGTTTGTTCGAGTTCCAGTTGGATACTTCCTGTCCTTGTGACTGAAAAAATACCACTCATTTTGTTCTTCATATCCTGATTTGCACTGATCTGCAGTTAAAAATTTGTAGCATGAATCGTCAGAACCTATTCTGCCCCATAAATGAAATCTGGGACTGAGCAATTCGCAAACTGAAGCGAAAGTGAGAAGAATGCTACGTAGATAATTTGATTAGGTAAAAAATTTAAAATGCAAATGGGTACCTTGAATGTCCCAGGGCTCCATTCTGTAGAGATCAATGTCAACGATGATATCAAGATCAATTTTCATGGCGTTAACTCTTCTCTTTAGGTAGTAGCCAACGAGTTCTTCCTCGGTGGGGTGAAATCGAAAGCCTGGAGGGATACATGATTCGATTTCCATAGTCGAATCCATACTATTCCTGGGTAAAGAATGCCAAATATATGTTAGGAAAAGAGCGAAGTTCTGATCAGAAGATTTTAGTTCTTTCGTTAGCACTAAATTTAAGCGAATAATGCAAATCCGAAGAAGACATTTGGTGTCCAATGTTAAATACAATTCAATTGTAGGGTCTACTATTACAATCCATCTTACCAAAAAAATCATAAAAGCAAACCATACCCCCAAAGATGTTTTCATTCTTAAGGTTTACTGTAAAGCTACTTTTGGAAGACACTCTCCTGATGAAGTGAAGGAAAAAAGTTCACAAATTACAGAGAGTAAAATTCACACAACTTGTTTCTTTTCTTGTGAAATTGTCATGATTCATTCATATATCCACTCGTGAACATTATGGTTTGATGGTCCCATGAATTGTTGCTGCATGTTTTGGAATTGTGTTTTTATGAGGAAAAAAAGTGGCAGACCAAATGATTCATGCTAAAACATGGGCCAATACATGTGTAGCAAAATTAAGAACATTTATCACAAAAGTGGCCGTAAAAATTTGACTTGTGAACATGGGGGCATGCTCGTTTCATTGATTGCATTCAGCTGCACCCTTCATCACACCATTTCTGAACCAGAACGTACAATTCCCAAATCTATACTTCGATCCGGTTGCAGTTTTCTGATCGAAAGAACGTTTTAGGACTGACTTGCGCACACATAAAACGATAGAGAAGACATATAGATACACTAGCTAAAGAGAGATTTTGCAATGCATACAATCTGATCAATAAGATCTGGAACAAGGGTTTGAAGATGACAAGTTTCTTTTTCCATTAAAGCCCACTCCGGTTCAGGAGGGGACTCGACTTGACCTCTGAACGAGTTAAAGCTAAAAAACTAAACTTGATGGTTCTAGCTGAAAGAAAACAGATTCCTATTTCATTTTGCTATACACATACCTATGCATGAATACAAATTTACATCCAAAAGCACAGGAATAAGAAAAATACTAACCACAAGTTCAACTTTTTTGTGTGTTCTTGAACTGCCTAGAGAGAGCGACTAGATTTCTAGGAATAGGAGGTGAATATATTGGTGAAGAGAATGACTTGATTGTATTGAATGTTGGTTAATGCTGTTGGTAAGAGGGCTCTTTATATATTAATACGATAAGCCAACAAACAGTTAATGAATATGACAGATCAAACATAAGATTTATATATATAAAATAAAGTTTTAGAAAGTCCATATACACATACAAAAGGTAATGTGAGTAAAAGAGATTGTATATAGCAAATAAACAAGAAAGACATCAAATGGGGACATACGCGCAGTGCCATCTTTTTAAGTTTGTTCATGGCGCAGAACTGTTTTAGGCGTGAGAGAACTGCAGATCCCAAAGGTTTGTCCGGGGCAACTGTATCATCCACAATCCAAGGGTGACCTATTACGAAAGCCAAGTTTCCTTTGTTTAATAATATGTAAAAGTAAAACAAGAACAGACATAATTCATATGAGAAGCAAGAATACAACTTACATAGGACTTCATGAGCAGATATTCGTCTTCTAGGGTCTCTATCGAGCATTTTTCCTATAAGATCTTTTGCACTATCTGAGATGTTTGGCCATGGCTCAGATTCGAAATCTATTTTTCCTTTCAGAATCTGTCTGAAGATACCATTATCTGTCTCTGCGAGTCGAAAATTTGAAAAAAGAACAGAGATGAACAAGGAAATATTAAAAGATGAAATTAGTTGGTGATTATAGGAAAATGGTGAATTCGAAAGCTTACCAGCCCAAAATGGTGGAACTCCACATAATAATATGTAGAGGATAACGCCTGCGCTCCACACATCACTTTCATGGCCGTAATATTTATGCAACACTTCAGGCGCGACATAGTAGGGACTTCCAACTACATCAGAAAGATATTGTCCTGGTAGGAATATTATCATAAAATTCTCCATCAGATTATATCAATAATTCTCATTGTAATTCAAGGTCTACTAATTCTCATGTACGTTTAAACCTACATATTTGAAGAAAGAAACTAACGAAATGGATCAAACAGAATCCAAGAATATACCAGGTTTGAAGAAAACCGATAACCCAAAATCGGTGGCCTTAAGCTTTGCATCCTCATCAGGAGTATCGAAAAGGAAATTTTCCGGCTTAAGATCCCTATGCATTACACCAAGAGAATGACAAGCCTCGACCACCCCAACAATGGTTTTCATAAGGTGAGCTGCTTTTTTCTCGCTGTAATGACCTTTCTGAACAATCCTATCGAAAAGCTCGCCGCCAGCACACAATTCCATAACCAGATGAACAAACACATTGTCTTCATAAGTCCCTTTAATCCTCACAACGTGAGGATGCTCCGACAAATGGTGCATTATCTGAATTTCCCTCCAAACATCATCGTAATCCTCCCTGCACAAAAGCTTGCGTTTTGGGATCGATTTACATGCATATTCAATGCCTGTGGCCTTCTCTGTGCAATGATAAGTCGTCCCGAATTGGCCTTGGCCTAATTTTCTCCCCAAATTGTAATGATCTCGGAGTCTTGGGGTTTGATAAGGAAGAACTGCTGATGCAATCTTTGAGGATGATCCTGAAGAATGTTTCTTCATCGAGTATTGTTAGTAGGGACCTATCTATCTCTAAGCTCTTTGTTCTCTCTCTATCTACAAGTTCTTTTGTTTCTTGATTGGAGTTTGAGAAAAAATCTCTGTTCTGTTTTTGTTTCACCATAAATTATTGAGAAGTAACTAACAATTGATTTTTGGTCATACAATTTGGCGGAGTTTGTGGTGGAGCTTGACTAAGTGCATTGTGCCTTTTTCTTGTGGTAATTTCTAATGGGATAAAAACACCATTATTAGAGTTAGTGACATCTTTTTTTACACTAGGGACGCCAACAGGCCGGAGTGGCCTGGGGCAGCCTGTCATGAATTTGCAGGAGGCAGGCGGAACAAATTGGGATTTTTTATTTTTATTTTTGGGGAAGGGCTCAATATTCCTAATTTAAACATCACATTTCATTTATTTAAATTTCCAGCTGTTGCAAGAAAATAAAAATAAAAACCTTATAACTTCATAGGCAAGAAAATTGAAACAAATGGAAAAGAAAACAACGTTTATGTCCTTCAATTAGTTTGTCAAATAATATATAATAAATTCACAATTGCAGAACAACAGAAGAGTTAAAATGTAAATTAACAATTCAACCTATGGCCTTGGACACAATGATCTTTGACAACTATTATAAAGAACTTGACAAGGGCAGTTATTTATATATTAATTCACAACAAATTCTATCCATGTATGCACTTTTGACATACTCAGCTGTGTAAATTGGGGAGTACTGAACGAAGAAAAATAAGCTAAAATGTTATATGTCCAATACACTGCATACCAAACAAGCTTAACTAAAAGTCGGGAAAGCATTCCAGTAATTGGCTGACATGGTTTTGAGCATTTTGCTCACTGTTTTGGGACATTAATAACAGGTTTGTGTAAGCATATGATGAAGGCTCAGTTACTTCTGATGCAAGTAACTTATCCAAGCTCTTCCAATCACTAATTTGATTCCCATAATTGCTTTTATAATCCTCGGTCGACTCTTCATTCCCAAATATTGCATTACCTTCGAAATGTAAACTTTCGTTCGTAGTAAAATCAGTTGTTAACATGGGTGGGCTATCGAGTTCTGGAAGTTCAACTATTTGATTTTCGAAAACTGAAGCAAGTGGAGACTGCTGAAAATTTGTCCCTTGATTAATTGGATCGAAGTGTTGCGTTCCATTCGGGGTGCTTGGATATGATGGATTAGGCCTGTAATTTCTGTTGATCGATCTGGTATAGTAGACATTATTCCATGCTTCAAAACCTTGCTTCTGATTTGGACTTGGCTTCTTGAATGCTCGACAAACCACCCATCCTTCTTCCTGTAATGTTTGATAATATTAACGCGCTAATTTCTATATAATACAATGCGAGAACTACATCCACTTGACGTTGCAAGTTTTTTACTTATCAATGTTTTCGTCATGCCCCCTCTAAAAGGACGACCTAATACATGTCTAGAATACTCGATATAATTGTCTTTATTCTAGACTGATGCAGCACAATAAAGAAAGGAAGAAGAAAGCTTGTCTCTCCAATTAGCAATTTAAACCACAGAAAGTGCTTTGGAAAAGAGCGTTTGTCACCTTTGAAATCATTACAGAATAAGAAAAAATATTGAAGAGGGTAATGGATTTATAAAAGTCATGTTTTTTTATGAACAAAAATATAAAAAAAGCAAATATTTGGGATGAGAGTCATTCAGGATATCTACTGTAACAATCAGAAGATATACATCTATATCTATATCTGTTTATTTTTCATAATTCAAGGCAAAGTCACTTCTAATGTATGAACTTAATTCTTGCTCTTAGACTATCTTAGTGTCTATTTAATCGATCGAGCAATAATAAAATAAGAATAAAATCAGAAATTAACACACAGAAATTTAAAGTAATTCTCCTAGATGATGTTGAAATTACCTGAGAGGGTCCATGTTCAGATGTTTGGAGCCGATATTCGTGCATGATCCAGTCAGTTTTCTGTCCATTTGGTGCGCGTCCTTTGTAGAATACTAATGTCTTCCTCATCCCTATCATTTTGTCATTCGAAAGCACTGCCTTATCCCTTCCGGTTGCCTTCCAGAAACCGGCAGCTGTCGCCCTGTTTGTTCGAGTTCCAGTTGGATACTTCCTGTCCTTGTGACTGAAAAAATACCACTCATTTTGTTCTTCATATCCTGATTTGCACTGATCTGCAGTTAAAAATTTGTAGCATGAATCGTCAGAACCTATTCTGCCCCATAAATGAAATCTGGGACTGAGCAATTCGCAAACTGAAGCGAAAGTGAGAAGAATGCTACGTAGATAATTTGATTAGGTAAAAAATTTAAAATGCAAATGGGTACCTTGAATGTCCCAGGGCTCCATTCTGTAGAGATCAATGTCAACGATGATATCAAGATCAATTTTCATGGCGTTAACTCTTCTCTTTAGGTAGTAGCCAACGAGTTCTTCCTCGGTGGGGTGAAATCGAAAGCCTGGAGGGATACATGATTCGATTTCCATAGTCGAATCCATACTATTCCTGGGTAAAGAATGCCAAATATATGTTAGGAAAAGAGCGAAGTTCTGATCAGAAGATTTTAGTTCTTTCGTTAGCACTAAATTTAAGCGAATAATGCAAATCCGAAGAAGACATTTGGTGTCCAATGTTAAATACAATTCAATTGTAGGGTCTACTATTACAATCCATCTTACCAAAAAAATCATAAAAGCAAACCATACCCCCAAAGATGTTTTCATTCTTAAGGTTTACTGTAAAGCTACTTTTGGAAGACACTCTCCTGATGAAGTGAAGGAAAAAAGTTCACAAATTACAGAGAGTAAAATTCACACAACTTGTTTCTTTTCTTGTGAAATTGTCATGATTCATTCATATATCCACTCGTGAACATTATGGTTTGATGGTCCCATGAATTGTTGCTGCATGTTTTGGAATTGTGTTTTTATGAGGAAAAAAAGTGGCAGACCAAATGATTCATGCTAAAACATGGGCCAATACATGTGTAGCAAAATTAAGAACATTTATCACAAAAGTGGCCGTAAAAATTTGACTTGTGAACATGGGGGCATGCTCGTTTCATTGATTGCATTCAGCTGCACCCTTCATCACACCATTTCTGAACCAGAACGTACAATTCCCAAATCTATACTTCGATCCGGTCGCAGTTTTCTGATCGAAAGAACGTTTTAGGACTGACTTGCGCACACATAAAACGATAGAGAAGACATATAGATACACTAGCTAAAGAGAGATTTTGCAATGCATACAATCTGATCAATAAGATCTGGAACAAGGGTTTGAAGATGACAAGTTTCTTTTTCCATTAAAGCCCACTCCGGTTCAGGAGGGGACTCGACTTGACCTCTGAACGAGTTAAAGCTAAAAAACTAAACTTGATGGTTCTAGCTGAAAGAAAACAGATTCCTATTTCATTTTGCTATACACATACCTATGCATGAATACAAATTTACATCCAAAAGCACAGGAATAAGAAAAATACTAACCACAAGTTCAACTTTTTTGTGTGTTCTTGAACTGCCTAGAGAGAGCGACTAGATTTCTAGGAATAGGAGGTGAATATATTGGTGAAGAGAATGACTTGATTGTATTGAATGTTGGTTCATGCTGTTGGTAAGAGGGCTCTTTATATATTAATACGATAAGCCAACAAACAGTTAATGAATATGACAGATCAAACATAAGATTTATATATATAAAATAAAGTTTTAGAAAGTCCATATACACATACAAAAGGTAATGTGAGTAAAAGAGATTGTATATATGTTATTGATTACGCGTGGGGTGGCAGATTGGATCAAAGCTTTGTTTGGACGGCGTGACACCAAATTTTCACGCCACCCTCCACCGTTATATTGTGCCCTAAGACTTTAATTTCCACTTGTCTGAAAATGAACTTGGATGGTGCGTGACAATAAAGAGATTATTCTACCATTCATGACGAAGGTAACTGGTGTAAGTGACGAGAGAGCAGATCAGCTTCACCTTTCTATCCGAACACAAGAAATTTATCAAGAATGAAATGAAGCTATGGACTTTCCTAATCCTAATTTGAATTATAGTAATAAATTTATAGTCTCCATCTAGTAGTAAGTCCAGATGTGATGAGGAAATAAAGAGACATTATACCCGAACTCGATATATAATGACGAAGAGTACGTCTGCTGAGAATGGAGTGTAGCTATTTTGCATTGTCCATTGTAATCCTTATTTCTCATCAAGAAATTTGATATTTTTTCTAATTCTTTTGCATTTTTAACTAAGATCAGATCAATTTACTGCTAATAATGGTTACAGTAAAAACAAAAATCTTGTCTTGTCATTGCCATTTGAATTAGCACTGAAACAAATATTTGCTTTTGCTTTTGCATTTTGCATTTTGCTCATCCCACAATCCAGCAATTCTTGTCTGTTAGGTGCGCCGCCCTTACACATTTGAAGCCAGTAGACGGAAGACATGTGGATGACACCTCGAATTCCGAGCTGTCTATTTCAGTATGCTAATCATTTGTGGTGTCATGTATTCATATATATATTTGTGAGATGAGTCTTAGAAAAGCCATCATCCAGCTTTTCTGTATTTGGCTTTGGCTTTGGCTTTGGCTTTGGCTTTGGCTTAGGCTTAATGCATGTCGGGTGATTAATTACTATTAGACACTAATCAAAATTGCCTTAAATTTAATGAATCCTATGAAATGTACATTTTTAATACTTTATTTATCAAATTAAGATTTTAAATCAAGTAGTTAAGTAGGATACAGCTCTTTGTACTTGTCCTTAATTGGATCTATCTGAAATTTAATGAATCTTTTTTATTATTATCTTTAATAAAATACGAGTCTTTTGATATAGTACGATAGTTTAGAGCTTTATTTACAATTTCTTGAAAGTTGGTACTTGGGGTTTTCTTATTTTCTTTAAATACAAGAAGTATGGGTTTATTGTTAGTAGGTTGTTTGGATAAGATTATATTCAACTTCGAGATTTTCGTTAGATTCAATTTTGAAATATACTCTTTGGATCGAATGAATGATTTTGTTGATGTAAACCAATCCTCGGCATCAT